GGATGTTGTGGGTACTGTGCAAGGGATTAAGGTACGGGTCATTGACACACCTGGACTTTTACCTTCCTGGTCAGACCAGGGACAGAATGAGAAGACTCTCCTCAATGTTAAGCGCTTTATCAAGAAAACACCTCCAGATATTGTGTTGTATTTTGATAGGTTGGACATGCAGAGCAGAGATTTTAGTGATATGCCACTCTTGCGCACCATCACAGACATTTTCGGGGCCTCTATTTGGTTCAATGCAATTGTGGTTCTGACTCATGCTGGATCAGCTCCACCTGAGGGCCCAAATGGTGCCGCTTCTAGTTATGACATGTTTGTCACTTCACGATCTCATGTTGTTCAGCAAGCCATTCGTCAGGCAGCCGGGGATATGCGCCTCATGAATCCTGTTTCATTAGTAGAGAACCACTCCGCTTGCAGAACTAATAGGGCTGGGCAAAGAGTCTTGCCAAATGGTCAGGTTTGGAAGCCTCATTTGTTGTTGCTCTCCTTTGCATCCAAGATTCTGGCCGAAGCAAATGCATTATTGAAGTTGCAAGATAGTCCACCTGGAAAACCTTTTGCAACTCGAACTAGGGCACCTCCTTTACCTTTCTTGCTTTCATCACTCCTTCAGTCAAGACCACAGTTGAAGCTGCCTGAGGAGCAGTTTGGTGAGGATGACAGTCTAGATGATGATCTGGATGAATCTTCAGATTCTGATGATGAATCAGAATTTGATGAATTGCCCCCATTCAGACGTTTGACCAAGGCCCAGGTGGAAAAACTCTCCAAAGCACAGAAAAAGGCATATTTTGATGAGCTAGAGTACAGGGAAAAGCTCTTTATGAAGAAACAATTGAAGGAGGAAAAAAAGCGACGGAAGTTGATGAAAAAAATGGCAGCTGCAGCAAAGGAACTGCCAAGTGATTATGTCGAAAATGTTGAAGAAGAGAGTTCTGGTGCAGCATCTGTACCGATTCCCATGCCAGATTTGGCATTGCCTGCTTCCTTTGATTCTGATAATCCAACTCACCGTTACCGGTACCTAGATTCCTCCAACCAGTGGCTCGTAAGACCTGTTCTGGAACAGCATGGTTGGGATCATGATGTTGGTTATGAGGGTATAAATGCAGAAAGACTGTTTGTTGTTAAAGAAAAGATACCCTTATCTTTTTCTGGTCAGGTTACCAAGGATAAGAAGGACGCCAATGTCCAAATGGAAATTGCTACTTCAATAAAGCATGGAGAAGGGAAAGCGACTTCATTTGGGTTTGATATGCAGACTGTTGGAAAGGACTTGGCTTATACTCTACGAAGTGACACAAGGATCAGTAATTTTAGGAAGAATAAGGCTACTGCTGGTCTCTCAGTTACTCTCCTGGGTGATGCTTTATCGGCTGGTATGAAAGTTGAAGACAAATTTATTGCTAATAAACGGTTCCAATTGGTTATGACTGGTGGCGCAATGACTGCCCGTGGTGACGCTGCCTATGGTGGTAGTTTGGAGGCTCAGTTGAGAGACAAAGACCATCCTTTGGGTCGTTCCCTATCAACCCTTGGGCTCTCTGTCATGGATTGGCATGGAGATCTTGCCATAGGGTGCAATATACAGTCTCAGATTCCAGTTGGACGGCATACGAACCTGATTGCTCGTGCCAATTTGAACAATAGGGGGGCAGGACAACTCAGCTTGCGCTTAAATAGCTCTGAACAGCTTCAGTTAGCTTTGATTGGCCTTGTTCCTCTGCTCAGAAAGTTTTTCACCTTTCCTCAACAGTTGCAGTATGGACAATGATGAAAATTAGAATAATAAATGTGCCGTGGCAGCGTTGAGGTATAGGTCGTCATCAAGAGTGAGTGAGGAGTTCATCCTGTGATGGCCATCACCACAAGTGAGTGATTCTAAGCTGCTGGTTTCAAGGCCTTTCAATCTAGTATTTAATTGATCATAGTGAGGTTAGCTTCGTAATTAAATATTGGCAGTTGTTAAATTAAGGTACTGGACTCGGTGTTGCTTCTATTTCACTCAGGCCTTTGTCTTAATTATCTATATAAAGGTGGTACTCGGTGCACAAGGCTCCCGCTTTACGCAGGGTCTGGGAAAGATGAATGTCGGCTAGCCTTACCCCCATTTTATGGAGAGGCTGCTTCCAAGTCTCGAACCCGAGACCTACCGTTCATGGGCGAAGGCACTTGCCATCGCACCAAGTGCGACCTCTGTCTTAATTATCTATATGAGTGTGAAAATTCATTTATATTGCCAAAGTTGTTGATTGCTTGGTATCTCTTCCAATCTCTGCTTATTTAGGTTCTTGTGCTTGTAATTCAATACGCATTTCATTTACCTTATATTGTTCATTACGCATTTCATTTACCTTATATTGTTTATGGATGGTTGAGGGCCTTGAATATGAAACCGAGTGTTTACTTCCAGTCATTGATATTGTTTGTGCATGGCAGAGGGCTTTGAAAATGACCAAGTTTTTAGTCTTTTGCTGTTGGTGTTTGATCAATGTGAGCTGCACCTAAAGGAAGCCTGGAGTATGAATAATTTTCTGCTTAACCCTGTCCTTCCACTCGTTTTTGGGAGGGAAGGAAGAGAGCAGCACCAATAGCATCCCTCAGATTCTCTTCTAGTAGGGGGAGTCATCCGCAGGATGGTGGAAAATAACGAGGTTATCTTTTGCTCAACGCTGTTTTTCTTGTTCTCGTGTTTGTAATGCAATTTTGACAGACTTAAGAATCGTGCATCAGTTAGACTATTGTAAACTCTTCTTTGTAATGTACCGGGACTTATTTTTTTCCGTGTAGATTTCTAAGAGTTGTGCCATTGCTCGAGTGATTAGATCGGAGTTACGAGGTTTCATTTTCTTCTTTAGAACACAGGCAGCGCAGAATATGTACTTACCATTACTGGTCTTGGTAATGCTTGCCTTGCCTTGCCTTGGCTCGGTTTTCCTGTCGCAGTGTGTGGCTCATAATTTAGAATTTACTGTGATATTAGAAGCCTGCCAATTGCTAGGTTCTACTCGCAAGGTGCCAAAAGGTTTTTTCATACTGTTTTGAAATTTTGTACACGTCATTGAAGGCGACGGTCTTGGGGGTGGGGAATCGAACGTAGCACATCAGATGCTTGTAAATGCTATTAATTACTTGAGCTCCGAGCCTTTTAGTTTGTCTTGAGGAATTACAGTTTAATATTCAAACTTCGCTGGTCTGCACAACATTTCTTTTATTTTGGAATTTTATTTTCTGAATTAGTGTAAAGATAAATTTACATACTGAATTGAGTTGCGATGATATTTTAGGTAGTAAATTTGGTTTAAATAGAAGTTGATTCTTGAATTAAAAATAATATGGGTGTAAAAGGTAAGTTGGGGATAGAAAGATGTTATATGAGTTAAATAAAATTTCCTTTTGCATTATCATTAGAAATATTAAGATTCTGATTGTAGTGTCTTGAATTATCCCACGAAATTATTTTGAGCACTAACGGATAACCATTATCACCGTCACCTCCGCTACCACCGCATTACCACGGCCATCACCACCACTCTCTCTGTTATGCCGCCACCATCACCATGACTACCGCTTTCCCATCACTACCGTCGCCGTTTCCACAACCTTCATTGCCGTTTCCTCCACTAATAAGTCAACAACACAACTGTACTCATTTTCGGCCTATTTACTTCTCACACTCTCTTAATTTTCGACATTTGGATCAAATGAATTGAAAAAAATCAAAATACATAAATTAATAAAATGTATGTGAGAAGTAAAAAATGATGTGAATATCACACCTCGTTCTTTATTAGTGTAAAGAGCAACGTTAAAGGTCTACGATTTCATTTTCTAATTTGGTTCAACTTTCAACCCTTATTTAATTTTAACAACATACATCCAACTCTGCTGCCATATCATTTTTATTCAAAAAAAGAAGTTGTGATGATTATAGTATTTATTGTCTTATAAGTATTTTATATCGCCGGCAAAGAATCAAAAGTTTGCCCACCAAATCCAAACACAAAGTACAAAATTTCGGCAGCATAAACCACAAGGCTAGCTACTTGTCATTTGGCAAGGTCCTACAACTTCTTGTGTGCGGAATATTTGCCACATTTTGTAACATTTTACGTGTATTATACGAGAGTAATGTGCTTAAGTGTAAAATACAGAGAGCTTTAATGAAAATAGGTTTTATATTTTTCTTTACCCAAATAATTCTTATATACTTATTCTTTACCCAAATAATTCAACATACTTCTTCTTTCCTTCCACGAGAGAGCTTTCACTCTATTGTGAGAGTTTTTCCCCTCTTTATGTAAAGGTTTCCAATCTTGCTTAAAATTGGTGGCGCCAACTCTAGTTTTGGCTGGAGTCGGTTGCCAATTTCCCTTTTCTTTTCTTTTTTGTCTTTTTTGTTCCCCTTTTATGCTGTGTTTTCCTCCTCCATCTCAATATGTCCTCCTCTTTTTATCTTTGTGACATCCCTTGCTCTTGTTCATTTGGGTTTCGATCTCCTTCTTCTGATATTCATATATCAGCCATACTTTCCGTCGACATGGTGTGTAGAGTTCCGGTTCTTCAACCAGCCACCTTCTCTCTATTGTCTACCGTTTCTGGCATTGTTGCTCATGGTTTTCCATGGGCTTCTTTCTCTTGGTAGCCGACTGATTTCTTTTAGTTGGTTATCCCTACTTTGTGGCTGTGCTCGGAGAAGCTGTTCAAGTTTGGATGATGAGTTTGGTGAGGCGATGCTCAGTGATGGGCGTGGATTTGTGCAGATCGAGATATACTGTTTCGATGGAGGCGGCTACAGTAGATTTCTTGGTTTTGTGTTTTTTTGTCGTTGGGCCTTAGTTGTTTGGCTGTGTTCTTGTTGGATTGTCTGGTTGACCCCTTTTTTTTCCCTGTTTATGTTTCTCTGTTTGTGGTCTTTTGTATGTAACATGTGTCTTTGATGTTAATAAAATCTTCCTTGACCATAAAAAATAAATAATTCAACATACTTTATTTAATGGGAATGACAAAATAAACACAAATGAACTAAATATGAAAAATTCACGGTCTGAAAGCAAAGTCCAAACACAAACCCACGATTTACACCACAAATCTCATTCAATAATGCAAAATTGTAACATTATATTCAACAATGGCACCACTAGTATCAAGGAAATAAGTCTTGACCAATGCAAATCCACGCGCCAACCGGAAAACACCGGTTCCGGCGACGATGGGCAACTCTCTTACCGACTGCCCAATCGGGTTCCGCCCCAAAACGGTGAGACTGCTGCCGCTGTGCTTCCCACTCGTGAAAACAAAGTTCATAGCCGTAAGCAGGCTCACTTCCTCCTGTGAGCTAAACCCATATAGCCCTTGCGCCCGACCCACCAGCTTGGAACCGGGTTTGGGTCCCTTGGTCAAGGGGTTGTCGAAGATGTTGACTAGGCCGAAGTAGGGTAGTGATGTGGAGGTGTTGGATGCGTTGGCCACCGTCACCAAGGTCGGGTGCGGGCCGAAAACGACCTCGTGCAAGTAGAAGTGCAGCATGGTCAGCTTCTGTTGTGCATGGGAGAGGTTTTGATACCATTGGTCAATGTTCTCCCTAGGGTTTTCAATGGCGCTCTGTACCATTAATGGCGTGGACAAGCATGCTATGAACAAAAGGTTGAGAAATATTATTGTACCGACCCTTGCCATTGTTCGCTGTATATATCAAAGCTTGAAGGGCAGGGAGGCATTATATAGTGGAACTCTTGAAGCATCCAAAATATATATTTTGTTTTCTATAGCTATATTTTAATTGTTTTGCCCATTGGTGGAGGCCCTTTTTTAAAGTTTTGTATTTGTTCAAATATTATGGTGTTTAAGATTTTATATGTCGGACCAACATTTTCATCCCTCAACGATAAGATCCCAACTTCCCACAACCGGCGGAGCCATGTTAAGGGCTAGCCCATCTGGTGAAAAATTCTTAGCTCCGTCATTGTCTACCATCTACTAACACAACAATTGTGAAGCTGTAACACAAAAGACTTCAATTCAACTAGAAGTAGAAATGTTTATTTTGTATTATAATTTGTGCTGTCAGTTTTTTGATGATGTGAGAGGTTTTTCTTTCTTTAACAAATATTGCATTAATTGACACCTGTTGCATGACCAATTAGAATTAACAAGGGAGTTGATTGATAACCATTTTCTTTCTCCTTTTCACTTTTTAAAAACTTGAAGTTAAAACTAAAGGAATGTGTAGAATTGTAATTGTATGATTTCCCAGTCAAAACAATGTCATCAATGTCATCCACATAAAGTGATAAGATGAGTCGTAAAACAATGAAAAGTGAAGAGAGAAGGATCGGTCATGCTTTGGACAAAACCATGACAGATGATACAAGTACTTAGCGCTGGAACTAAGGACGGGGAGCCTGATTGAGACCATAGAGTGCCTTAAGGAAGTTACAAACCTTATGAGGGCGTTGAGGATCCACAAAACCCGGTAGTTGGACGAATGGACCACCATGAGTAACTGTTAAACGAGAACAAGGTGAATGGTAGTGGGCTTAACAACCAAACTAAAGTCTCATCATAATCGAACCCATGTTGTTGATGCAAACATTTAGCAACCAAATGGACTTTATACCTCTCAATAGAACCATCTGCATTATGCTTAATCAGAAAAAACTATTTGCATCCAACTAAATTTTGAAAAAACTATTTGCATCCAACTAAATTTTGAGAAAGATGTGACAGAATAAGAAACAACGTACCAGTTTTAAGTTAAGCATTAAATTCCTCTGTTATTGTTGTACGCCATTCAGGGAAATGTAGGTAGGCTTGACAAGATCAGAGACAAAAGCAGTGAGTGCATGTGGAAGTGGATAAGGGACGACATGATCTGGATGGGGCACGCCATGGGATAGAGGGAATGACATGGTCTGGATGGGGCACGGCATGTGGAAGTGTACAAGAGCGGATTGCCATGGGATAGAGGGAAGAAGGCACGACATGGTCTGGATGGGGCACGCCAGTGGCTGGATTGGGCTAATGATGAATAGGCATGTGGCTGGGTTGCTGCAAGCCAGCGGCTGGAAGACTGGGGATGGTAGTATGGTGGCTAGAACTGGACCAGGCCTAAGGAAGTGGGCTGGACAGCAAGGGCTGAGTAGCAGCTAGGCTACATGAGGAGAAGCACGGCAGTAGACAGGGCTGCAAGGGTAGTAGGGCGAGCAAGACGAAATGTCATTTCGAATGTGACATGGTGGGAGATGGAAACTCGATTTGTCTTTGGATCAAGGCATCAGTATCCCTTATATTGCAATTTGTAACCTACAAAAACACATTCTTTGGAACGAGGTCCCAGTTTGTCAGTAGTATAAGCTTCTAGGTGCAGGTAACACGCAAAACCAAACTTACAAAGAGAAGACAAATTTGAGTGACGACCAAACTCAAGGGTTTTTTGGATTAACATGACGCAATACAAGCTATCGCACCTTGTGAATGTGGAACCATAAGGGAAGTCAAGCAATACCGCCAGAACCAGAAGAGTATGAAGTCCTCATGGGATTAGACGATACATATGCTGCTGCCCGTGGCCAAATTCTTCTAACGGACCCGCTTCTTCCAGTTAATCAAACCTACCCACACATCCTACAAGACGAGAAGCCACGCAATGTTTCATCTGCTACCACAGCCACACTCGATATGACAGCAACATTTGCGGTTCGACATGGTAACTGTGGATTTGGTAGAGCCCCACGCAATCTCCATCTGAAGTGTGACAAATGTGACATGATTGGACATTTCGCCAAGACCTCTCGATCACATCTCAAGTGTGGCTTTTGTAATTTGAAAGAACACATAATTGATACCTGTCAGAAACCCAAGAAGACCAAAGACACACAATTGATACCTATCAGAAGCCCATGGATCTGCGCACACCCAAAGTGAATCATGCTCCTCAGACCAACGAGGCCTCATGCACACAATCTAGTCCTTTCACTATAGAACAATACCAAAACCTTTTGGTTTTACATGGCAGCAATAAGTCACCAATCACGGTCAATCTTGTAGGTGCTTCCTCCAGTCCCCATAGCCTCTCAAGTAAATCATTTCGAGGTATCGCTCTTTGGAAAGATTTAGTATGGATCCTTGATTTATAGGCGATTGACCACATATCGTTTTCTCTTGCTTTGTTCACTACATGCTCACCAGTACAAAATCGGACTGTGCAATTACCAAATGGCATAGCTGTTGCCATGACTCACATTGGAGGCATCCGTTTTTCCTCTAACCTAATATCGCATAATGTCCTATGTATTCCCTCGTTCAAATTGAATTTGATTTCTATCAGCAAGCTGGTCCAATACTCCAATTATGTTGCCATATTTGCTGAAAATCTGTTTGTATTACAGGAAAAATTAGTGTGGTACAGTAATACCATGTAACTTGTAATACTCCCACTTAAAATTTGACTGTGTGTTCCTATTTTGTACAGTTGGAAATGAACTGATTTTACTTTTTTTAATTTAAATAATTAAAAATTAAAAAAGGAAAACTAATGAAAAAGGCTTGAAAACTTTGAGTTTTAACGATAAGGACAAAATAAAGGGTAAAGTGAATAGTATCAGGATTGACTTTTTAGTATAAAAAAACGGTTTTTTCATTAAAATGAACAGTATTAGGAGCTTTCGTTAAAGTTCCCAGATAAAAACTATCCAAAGTGACACTGGTCCTGAGTCCCACAAAAGAAAATCTGTCTCTCAGTAAAGACACAGGGAATGCCTACCTGATGCCTCATCGTATCAAAGAGTAGTTGGGCTACTCATCTACGTAACCATCACACGTCCCGACCTTGTCTACTCGATTCACGTACTCAGTCGCTTAATGGACAAGCCACGAACAATACACATAGAGGCATCACATCAGGTGTTACACTATATCAAAAGCACACCTTGGCAAGGTCTATTTTTCCTTCACAAAGCTCCATCCAATTAAATGTTTTCTGCGACGCATATTGCGCACAATGTTGTGACACTCGACGATCAGTCACTAGGTAAAGCATATTTCTTGGGAGATCATTAGTTTCTTGGAAAACCAACAACCAAGCCACCATATCTCAGTCAAATGTAGAAGCGGAGTGTCGACCTATGGTTGCTGGATGTTGCGAAACCGTTTGTTTAAAATACATCTTAAGTGACTTGGGGATCTTGCACACAGCATCCCGTCAAGCTATATTGTGATAACCAAGCTACACTCCCCATTGCCTTGAATCTTGTATTTCATGAACGGACCAAACCCATAGAGATATATCGTCATCTTGTTTGAGAAAAGGTTCGAAGCGAAATGATCAAGACAGCTCACATACCAAGATCACAACAAGCAGCTGACATGTTCACTAAGCCCAAATTTCCCATTCAATTTCTAGAATCTTAATTCATCTATGTATTGTATATAACCTTGTATTGATTCAATAGCAGAGATACAATTTTCCCATTCAATTTCTAGACAATAAGCCCAACCCTGAAGCTAAATGGCGGAAAAGCGGATTCGAATTCATGTATATAGATACATTTACTCTATCCTATACGTCTATGTGTTGAACTTATATAGCCAAGAACAAGATTAAGCTGCACAATCAAGAAAGCACAAATCCCATTGCATGTAAAACACTGCAATTACACTAATCTGATGTACCTCCATTCGAAAACATGGCTGCTGTATTCCAAACTCAGTGCACTGCAATCCTTCTCCTCTCTGTCAGATTACTTAATGCTCTAACCAAGAATAAGACTTATGTTGAAGTAAATATGTTTTTATTTAAATATTTAAATATATTTATGTTTTGTTTTATTACTAATATTATATACATAACGTTTTGTATTATTATCATTATTCTATGCATAACAGCCAATTGATTTTGGCTTTTCAATGAGATAAGGAGTTACAGCTTTTTAAGTTTGAAAGGTGCCATTACTTCTCTGAATAGAGATGAAAATTCTGACATGATACACAATAAAACCGTTTTTATTTGACATACGTTTTGATTTTGTCCTGCTTTCATTTCTCTCAAACCTTCAACGTCTCTTTATTCTAAATGTATCTATAGTAGTTCCTGGAATCATTGGAGACATACGAAAAATATATATATTTTTTGATACATAGTTTTGGTAAGCAACATATTGAGAGGGTGTGAGTTCAAAGATTCTTCCAGTGTACAAGGAAGAATCTTATGAGAAGGAGGTTCTTGGCTGTTTTATCCTGGAGACGACGTGGTGTTTGTGAACTGCTTGTACACTTTGGGCAGAGCTGCGAAACGTCTTAAAGAGAGCGACTTAGTCCGCGACTCATCCCAAGAATCATTCACCACTCAAGGCTTCTACATTTTTCGGGTAACTTCGTCCCTTTCTATTTCCGTTTTCAACAACTTAGTTCTTAATCGAGCGCACATCTGTGAGAGCAGAGGTCACAATATATATAGGCATATATCTCTCATAAACTAATAAGGATTCCCTATTAAAATCCTTATAGAAAACAGATTATGTTTTCTAATTCATATCAATTTAATACCAAACACAATACTTCATACATAAGGATTGATACACCATATCTCATAATGCTTTCTCATACGTATTGGACTTAATCATTCAACGTCAAAACATCCAATCTCATGTTCATATTCTTACATTCTCCCACTTGAACATGAGATCGACTTTTGACAAGAATGTCTCCGATTATAAGAAGTGATCACTGTTTGTACCATACTTGACCAATCCCGAAACTCCTGAGCACCGGTCAACATTATACCGTCATGGACCCAGAAGAGTTTCCCTCCAACCAGGAGACCAATCACAGCACGACATGTGTCGACATCAGAAGCCAATCATAGCGCGACACGTGTCAACATTAGAAGCCAATCACAACACGACACGTGTCAATGTCAGAATGAAACTAGAAACTCTCTTCTATAAATAGAGATCATTCTCTCACAATATTTCCTAATGTCATTTGTACTAAATTATTCACTTGTACTCACTAAAGGAGAGCTTGAACCTATGTATTTGTGTAAACCCTTCACAATTAATGAGAACTCCTCTACTCCGTGGACGTAGCCAATCTGGGTGAACCACGTACATCTTGTCTTTGCTTCCCTGTCCCTATCCATTTACATACTTATCCACACTAGTGACCGGAGCAATCTAGTGAAGGTCACAAACTTAACACTTTTTGTTGTACCAAAGTCCTCACTGATTTTGTGCATCAACATTTGACGTCGTCTGTGGGAACGACACTTATTCCCACTTTCTTCAGCTTTGTCAAGCTGGTTTCCACCATTCGTACACTCTTTTTTGACCAGGCATCCCTCTCCAACATGGGGAGCGAAGGAAGCCACAGCACACAGAATGACACCCCTCTTACACATAGTGCGAAGAAACGAAAGAATGAAGGAAAAAGGGTTGCTCTTCAAGCTAAAGCCGATGAGCTAGAAGCTCAGAACAACAAGATAGCAATGAGGTCCTCCCGAGCAGTATGAGAAGCTCTTTGAGACGTTCCACGAAACTAGGCATACTCAAACATGCGAGCTTGTTGCCCCTGTGGATATCAACCATCATCTGGGTGCCCCCCAACACGGAGGGTTACCTTTCTTCGAGATAGGTATCCCTGACGAGGAGCGAGATAATCATCAAAACATTGATCAACGCGAGACTTCTCTCAACCCAGCTGCTTCGACCCGAAGCAGGA